ATTGTTCAATCCGATATTGATCAATCTGAGTCTTCTCAACCTGTCAATAAAGCTGAACATTTTGAGGTTCAAGCTGAAGCTGAACATTCTGAGGTTCAAGCTGAAGCTGAATCAGAAGTCAAACTAAAGTTGAAAGTGAAATTCAAGTTGTAACTGATGAAATATGATGATCAGAACAATCTAATTGATATTCAACCCCTCTCTTGTACTCACAAGTGGACAAAACATCATCCTCCTACTCAAATAATTGGTAATGTAAATGATAGAGTGAAACGCGATCTGCTACCGCTAACAAGTGTCTTTTCGTGAACTTTCTTAGCGCAATAGAGCCAAAGAAGCCATCTGAAGCTTTGCAAGATCCAGATTGGATCAATGCCATGCAAGATGAACTTCGAGAATTCGAAAGAAACCAAGTTTGGAGACTCGTACCGAGGCCGAAAGACAAATCAATAATTGGTACAAAATGGGTCTTCCGAAACAAAAAGGATGAGATGGGAATTGTAGTGAGAAACAAAGCCCGATTGGTTGCTAAAGGTTACAGTCAACAAGAAGGTATTGATTATGACGAGACCTTTGCTCCAGTCGTACGCATTGAAGCTATCATAATATTTCTGGCATACGCTGCTCACAAGAATTTCAAAGTTTACCAAATGGATGTCAAATCAGCATTCCTAAACGGTATTCTTCATGAAGAAGTCTACGTGAGTCAGCGTGAAGGCTTTGTTGATCCACATAAACCTGATCATGTCTATGTTCTAGACAAAGCTTTATACGGGTTGAAACAAGCTCCTAGGGAATGGTATGATACTCTAACTCAATTCCTATTAAAGTCTGGTTTCAAGAAAGGTACGATAGATACGTTATTTCTTAAAAAGCAAGATAAGCATATGACTTGATTCAAGTAGACCAGATATAATGTTTTCAACATGTTTTTGTGCAAGATATCAGGCTAATCCAAAAGAGTCACATCTTGCTACGGTAAAGAGAAATCCTAGATACCTCAAAGGCACACAAAATTTGGGTCTTTGGTATCCTAAAGAATCTGGTTTTGAGCTGACTGCATTTACTAATTCTGACCATGCAGGTTGTAAACTGGATAGAAAGGGCATTTCTGGATCATGTCAGTTCTTAGGAGACAAACTAGTCAGTTGGACTTCAAAGAAGCAAAACTGTGTTTCAACTTCTACTGCTGAAGCAGAATACGTTGCAGCAGCTAGTTGTTCACAAGTTTTGTGGATGAAGACAACTTCTAGAATACGGGTACATGTTTAACAAAGTCCCTATCAACTGCGATTCAAAAAGCACGTTTGCAATAACTGCTAATCCAGTTCAACACTCTAAGACCAAACACATCGATATCAGGTATCATTTCATTAAAGATAATGTAGAAAAAGGGTTAATTGAGATACATTTTGCGCAGACTGATTTCCAACTTGCTGACATTTTCACAAAACCTCTGGATGAGAAAAGGTTTTCATTTTTAGTAAGCAAGCTTGGAATGCTAAATCTGTCTGTATAAGATCTGATCCATCTTTCTAAGGGGAGCTTGAGCTTAAAGTTTTTATCTGTATTTGATCTTATTGTGCTTAATTGCAAAATTTCAATCACTTGTTTAAGTGTTTTTGAGCTAACATCTAGGGGGAGTTCATCATCAATATTTCAAGATGATCTATCATTCTTTATCACATATATCATTCGAAATTTTCTCTGAATATACATTGAAGAAGAACTTCTTTGTATATAAAATGTTTTCCTAAATGTTCAAACCACTTCTTTGAATTTAAACGTTTTTCAATTCTAACAAGTGCGATTTTAAATGATTTTGTTTTTATTTCTTTTTGGAAACGAGTACTTTCTCTGATAAGGTATTTTCTAGAGATCTTACTTGCGTATTTTCTCTTCCCGTTGGTGCCCCTTCGATGCTTCCCCTTCTAGTGAAATCATTGCCACCTCTAACTTTTCTTTGTTGGTTAATCGGATCGATTGACAGTACCTATCAGCCCTCAATCCATCCATCAGGATTTGTACCATCAAACACCATAATTCCAGCCACCAACCTTTAATCGCGAAAAATGGCCCGCCTTCTTATTGTTGGTCTCCATTTTGGACTTGTCTCTCTCCGTCAACCAACAATTACTCTCCCCCATTCCCTCAATGGCCCGCCTTCCAATTGTTGGTCTCCACTTTGGACTTAACCACAAGGGTGGTGCCTGATTGGTTTGAGCTTGGCTCCAAAGGTCAAAAGTAACAGGAGCAAGGAGGAATAAAAATCCCCTTGTGGCCACGAAGGTTCAAATGCGGTGACTCCGGGCTATCTGCAAAGCAGGTGGTCGCCCTGAGATTAGTCAGCTCGCATAGCGGGTTGGATATCCAGGTTAATAAAAAAAATAAACGTGTCCTCCCCCTCCCCCTCCCCCTCCCCCTCCCTAAGAAGCAGTTTATAGTTCCTTAAATTCCTCTAACCACCCACGCTCCTTATCACAATAGAAAACAACTCACATCCCCTTATTACAACAATTGAAAAGACTATTCTACCCTCTAATTATTTCTATGTAAGATGGAAAAACCTACTCGTATCACAATCCCACTTGTTTGATGAGACCTTTTAGCAACAAATCTAGCTTTGAATGACAGACGATACCATATGAATCTCATTTAATCTTGTAAACCCATTTACACCCAACAAGATTAACATTGGATGCTTCTAACATTGCAAATGCAATACGAAACTCTTACTAAATCGAGAAAAGATGGATGGTTCAAGAAGAGGAAGAGGGTTTGAAAATTGAACTACAACTTGCTTGATATACAACATGATAAGGAAGAATTTAGACTTACGAATGTGATATCGAGTTTTGGGAACTATGGGATAAGGAGAAGGGTAAAGTCGGAGGACAAAAAAGTTGGCTATAAGACAACCGAAGACATGGATGGAGAGAAAGAAGGTTTCAAAAGAGAAGGAAAAAATTAGGTATAACAGCTTGAGTGGGGCACAAGATTTAGGAGAAGTAGAATTTAGAGTCTATGGGAAACGCATTTTCATAGAACATGACGGCTAGTATAAGCTTTATTTGTAACAGGGTCCTTAAAGTTGTAGTCGTTGATTGGTTGCATATCTCAGAAAGATGCAAGTGACTTAGGTGGTTCCTAAATATGGAAATCATAAACGCCTACACCAGAGTAAGTAAAGTCTAGAACAAATTTATATAATGGTTTAAAGGTAGATGTGCTATGGAATGTGGATGATGGCAAGTGATTGATGAGAAAAGCAGTTATGCCATAAGCGTTGGACCAATAGAATTTGGAAAGTGTGGCCAAGGTGAGCAAGGTAGAACTCATATCATAAAGATGACGATTTTTTCATATGTATGGATACGTAATACAATATAATGCAAGAGTCATTACGGAACTGTTCAAAATGTCCATGGATTAACTCAGGATTCACATCACATTGAAAAGTTTAATGGTAGTAGAAAGTCAGAGTAGATTCTTGAAGTACGGAAGGAGTAATTGCTTGAGATCGATATGAAGAGGATATAGCCAAGTGAAGGGGATAAAATCATTAATAATTATGATGGAATAGTGAAAACCACTCCAAGATACAATGGGTGAGGGACCCTAAATGTCACAATGAATGACATGCTTAGTAATGCCATAGTGAGACAATACGAGACTAAATGGTAGGCGCTTGCAATTTACACACAAAACAACGCGATGTGTTCAATTTTGAATTATTCACCGAATATAATAGAAATAAAGAAAGACAGAACCAAAAGGATGCCTTGACTTATGCCATAATGCAAGAGACTTGTGCAAATAATGCAAAAGCCAATATTGAATAGAGACTGTGGGAGTCAAGTTGAAATTGGTGTAGTAGTTTTCCTGTTAGATCCTTCAAAGGAAAACCAAAATGTTGAGAATTGTACTAAAATAGGTATTATCTCGAACTAACTGAAAAATGAAGGGTAATTTTATTGTTAAACCAGCAACTACAAGAATATTGGTTAAACGGAGAATGCAATTAGGTGGTGCTAGTGTAGAGTGACCGACATGCATGATAGCAAGTTGCAATTTTCCATAGTGACCTTGTCAGGTACAGAGAATGGTGTAGCATTTGGTGCAAGATTGATGTATGTTGTCATGTGATGTATTTAATGAAATCCCAAATATGCCTGGCAAGCAAAGCGTTGTAGTTGGTATTGTAGGAAAACACAAAAAATGGATTTATGATTGACATTAGAGGATATGTATTTAATGAAGTCCCTTGAACACAAGTTAAGGTTAAGCAACAATCCTTTATTCTTCAATTGTTGGTAGGTACTTATTTTAAGATCCATACTTACGAAATTATGTTATTTGGGCAAAAGGTTGATTACCGGCAACCCCAACCAGCCCCACATGGAACCTGCCTCCAATGACACCAATGTGAGATGGCATTTCTGTAGCTCACTCAGTGGTTGAGGCTATCAGGGGGGGCCGGTCGAACCTAGGACCCGTTGTTATATTTGGGCAAAGTTGTCCCGCCTCTTTGCCAACTGAGCTACACGCCAAAGGCTATGACATAAATGTTATTGTTTCTAGATTGAATAGAGCTGATGGTATTAATCTCTTATTCTCTTCCCCTCACATCATATAAATAACAAAGAGAACCCAGATCTAGAGTTGACATTTTGTGGTCATGATGTGATATATACAGAAATGCAGTGTGTTTTTTATTTTATTTTCGGTGAGAAGTATGCTATAGCCAAAGGCTATGACATAAATGACATTGTTCTTCACATTTTGTTGTTTACATTTCATATGATGGATTATTCTCCTCCTTTGGTTTTTTCAAAAAGAAGTTCCGTGTAAATCCATTGTTCTTATCGTATGTTTTAATTCTCGTCAAAATCAATAATATTGTGTAATTCCACATTTACAAAATGCTTCCAAACATAAATTAAAAAAGATATATATATTGGCATGTATAAGGTTTCAATAGGACCAAAAAAGATACTAACCAGGAAGTTATGATAAATAACGGCTCGAGGCTCCCATGAGATCACTTCAACCCACTGATCTGCTATGCCATCTTCACTCTCACTTCTACATCAAACAATGGCAATCCAATTTAATACCGAATCAGATCACACCAACAAATTCGAACAAATATTCGAAGTAAACCCGAACAGACCTGTCAGCAGTTGTAGTACGGTGAACGATGGAGCTGAGATCATGAGCTTTCGGAGAACTATCTGAAGTGTTTGGAATCGAAAGAATTCCGAGAGCGAGAAGGATTAAAACGAAGAATGAACAGATAATCATAATGGAGAAGATAAGCGTCGAAGATGAAGATTTCCTAAAAGATCCCCGGGGTAATGATCTCCCTTTTGACACCATTTTTACAATACAGATCGCAAGAAAGAAAAAACCCCTAAAATCCTACTGGAGATGAAGACTTTCAGTTGATTAACAGAGGCGAAACCAGATTTCTAAGCTCTCATGTGCTTTTCTTTATCCTTTTCTAATAAGGGAAATTTGAGTTTCAAAGCCCTATGTAAATGTTGCCTAACAGTATGCATCTCCAATCTAAAGTCAAACAACTTGACTTTCTATCATTCATGTTTTGTATTTTTTTTATTAATTTGGATATCCAATCCGCTATTCAAGCCGACTATTCTTAAGACGACCATCTGTTTTGCAGATAGTCTGGAGTCACAACATTTGAACTTCCATAGCCACAAACGGATTTTTATTTCTCCTTGAATTTGAACATGAGACCTACTGGTACTTTTGACCTTTGAAACCAAGCTCAAACCAATCAAGCACCACCCTTGTGGTTTATGTTTTGTTTTGTATTTTCCGATTTTATTTTACGGTTGCTTATCAATTTTATTGAGAATTTGTTGTATTAGTAAAACTTTAACGTTTGTTTATTTTTTGAAAAAAAAGCTCTTAATACTTCTTAAGTCTGAATCGGTCAGACGTTTTTATTTTCAGACTGTTTGATTTTTTTTAAAGAGTTGAAAAGCTTTTATAGTCCTCTAAATTTTAAGTGGTAGTCTAAACCCTTAATGGGCTCTTATTCGTACATGAGGACACCATATCGATCTCTCGCTTGATCCCCAGCTACCAAATCATACTGATCTATCCAAATCATACGGTCTGGACACCATATCAATCTCTCGCTCGGCTTCAAGCTATCGATCTATCCAAATCAATCTATGGAAAACGATCTCTGCAAATCGATCTCTCCTATATATGAGTTATTTTATGAGTATGATCAAACCAACGAGCAAGAGGATGTTGACGACACAATTAATGCAAAATGAATATCAATTCTATTTGTTATGGGACTTTGTTCGTGTTTATATTGATTCAGACTTCAGACATAAAAACAAACAGTCTGACTGGTTCGGATTTCAGACTTCATCATCACCTCTTATAAATCAGAAGTGAAATCAGACTTCAGCACATCTTAAAAAACAAACGTCACCTTAATGGTTATCCTGTACTGGTAAGGGGTTTGTATAATGTCGTGGTGTACATCTCAATTTAAACCAAGAACTTAAAATGTCAATTATGTTTTACTTTTTGTTTTCTTGTGTCCATCTGGATGCTAGTTGTATACATATAAAATGTAGCTGAGTATAAATTTTGAATAGATGTAAGAAAAAGAATAGATTCGTATAGATTTGTTTACTTATTTTTTTCTACAATAACTTTTATACATTCTTATTAATATACTATAGATATTAGATAATATAAATTGGGATGTATTTATGCTATTTTATAATATTATTAAATTCAGAAATATTTAGTAATAAGTTTATTTTGAAGGTAATGCTGAAAATTTTGTAATGATATAATTTATAATAGAAACGTCTTTTTGATGTATTTTAGTAAATCAATGATTATATATTTTTAATATGCTAAAAGTGAAAAACAAAGTGTAAGGATATAAAACAAATTAATTCATAAATACTCATGATATTTAATAGTACGATTAAATCCAAAAATATTCAATAATGAGATCATTTTTAAGGTATTGACGAAGCGATTATAATGGTATAATTCGTAAAAAAACGTATTTTTTAATGTATATTTGTTCATATACGTTATGTTAATATGATAAGGGTGTTGATGATCCCAGATCTAACAACAATTCAAGAATTAAGATGAAGTTGGGAGATGAGATTGAAGAACATGATGATGAAACTGGCCAATCTCTTATTCAACATGAACAGAAAATTACAATGCTCTCAAACACCTGGACTCTCATGTGAATTGTAATTAAATGAACAACTTCAATTCTAAGCTCCATGTCACCTATTTATGGGTGACATTTACAATGAAATCTCTTGCCCCTTTACAAGAATATTGCAATACAATACAAAATAATTTCCTTAATAAAACTTTCTAAACTTAGGACAATTTTGATCATAACAATCTCCCCCCAAAGTTTTATAAAACGAGCATCCATATGAAGCATTCATGTCTTCTTCCCCTGCTTTCTTTTAGAAAACTTTGGTGTGTCCGACATTGATGAAATCTTCAAGCTCCCCCTGAATAAGACTCTTACACTTTCAGTTTCAACTTAGAAATAAGACCCAATGTGAATTCAGCACCACTGATTGCACAAAGTAAACTTCAACTGCAAACAACTCAACACAATCTTTGAACCTCAAAATCATTGCCAACCCGAAAGCAATTAATTCATCCAACTATAATGTGCGAGTTACGTGACATTTCAGTGCAAACAGTATTATGACAAAGAATCTTTCTTAAATAACGAGTTGAATAAGCATTCAACTTAAGAACTTGATTCGATAAAGTCATAAGATGGGGTATTAACATCTGCTTGAAGTACCAAAGCAAACACCTTTGACATTAAGATCTGGAGAGAAGTACGAGCATTTAGAAACATGGCTTCAAGAACAACAAGTCAACCGGAAAAGATAAGTTGATTTTCTTCAAACTTTCAGCAGACTGAACCAAAATTAGATCCAAAATTCCAACCAAAAGAGTGATTATCGGCACTCAGAACTCTAGATCACAACCATAACTTCAGAGCAATGATTGTAGATTTTCAAATCTTTAACTGATCAAGTTAGAAGAATGACTGAGAACACTCAAAGATCTGATAACTCCAAAATCTCCAAAACATTGATTGTTGACCTTCAAAACCTCTAATTGACCAGGTCAAATGAAGTGATTGAAAGCACTCACAGTCTGACCTCTTGTGGAAAACTCCAAAATATTGATTGCAGATACTCAAACTCTGACCAATCCAATCAAATACCATATCCAATCAAACAGTTTTGAAATCCTTTCAAATCAAACTTTAATCAATAAACTCCAAATTGGTTGATAAAAAAAAAGTCAAACATTGACTTTGAAAAGTCAAAAGTTAACAAATATGTTGTTGATGCTTCAAAGGACAAAAATATGACAAAAATATCACCTTAATCATTAAGCACTAGGTGAGATTGGGCAAAGAATCCATTAAGCATATGGAGAGCCTTGAACAAGTACTCATGAGATGGACGATGAACATGGATAAAGCTTCTAAATCGTCTATGCCTTAGGCGGATTCTCCCATTAACCACATATAGCGCCCACTCTTTGGGCGGAGAACAAGTATGTCGTCCATGCGTTGGGTGATATACACAAACTTCAAAATTTTATCGCCCAATAAAGAAATGAACTCACATAATGAGAAAATTGGCCAAATTCGCTAATTTTTTTTTTTGATAGACGAATAATTGATGGAATTCCAAATGGAAGTTCGTAGTTACTTCGACTAGATGAATCGTAGCAATGGAATAATTAAGTCATAGTTCATTGGTTGAGTGTAATGAAAAATATGATTGATAGAACAAGAATACAAAATTGACCTCATTATTAGAAATCAAGTTATTTGGATTAGTCTTTTTGGTGGGTATCCTTAATTCTCTCCAGTAGATATTGATGGTATTCGTGAACCTGTTTCTGGAGGATCGACGAATCAAATGATATTTCTGTTCAATATTTTTTTTATACATGCCAAAGTGAGTGGAGTACGGTGTGTATAAAAACCCTCATGATTCGTAAACTAATGCAACTTGAGCGGATTGAGTGTACATCGGACAAATTTGAAAAGAGAGATCTAACAATCTCCACATTGTTTTATAAAGGAAGCATCATCATATAAACTCATCCTTGATTTATTTAGAAGCTCTTATGTGCCATTCTTCAAGTCTTCAAGGCGTTAGAAGCTCCCCCTCAAATGTAGGCTCATATTCTTGAAAAACTGAGACAATTTGCACTTTTTGTCCGGCTTTCATGACTCAACTTCATCGTTCTTTTTGACCATCAAGAATCTTGATTGAGAGAAAACATAAAACATGCACATTGAACTACAACCTCTTTGATTCAACCATTTTGGATGAAAATTGAGTGAGTTGTTGATAAGTGTGCAAAAGCATACACTTTAGCATCCAATTGTGTGTTTATTTCACTTCATTTTACATCTTTCCAAGTCCTATATCGAGTCTTTTAGTCTTATCTTATGGTTTTACATTTAGTGGAGCTAGGACGCAGGAATGATAATGTCTTACAATCTTGCTTTTATCTGCTAATATCTCTTCACTGCTCACCACACTGATTATGTATCACAATTTCATCACTACATCGAAGTTTTTGTAAGCCTTGCACCTCTATCGAGTAATGCCTAAGTCGCATCATCTAGGTCTGATCCCAAATTGAGCAAGGGCGGCCCCCATACTGAAGCGCGCCTTTCAGGCTAAAAAGACCCTTGCCTATACATGTAAATTCGTCAGTCTGGTTGAACAACCTCCCAATGAGAGCGACCTAAAGTCGAGGAGGTGTAGTCAAGGAGATAACTCACAAGGAGAGTGATTGGCCCCGTACGACTTCTCAATCTTCTGTGAACTTTTCTTCTCTTATCGGGGGTTGTTTTCCCTATGTCATAGTCCTTTTAAAGAGGAGAACAAGGACAACTGACTACCTCACTCGGTACCAAAAGCAAATACTAGACAACGAGACAGCCATTGTGGTAAACAATAAGAGCAAACGAAAATCAACCCTTGCCTCTACCTAGTCAGAACTCTTGTTTAGGAGCCCCTGCAAAAAAAAATTGATGAGTAAAATGTTAACATAAGCATTGTTGTAGCAGGTGTATACATTGTTGCAGCACTGGACGCTGATATTGGCATAATAAGGCTCAATCTCGTTGAATAATGTGAAAAGTCAAAGTTTTGAAGAAGGCATCTCCTAGTACTCCTGGAAACTGATTTAGATAGATAATGCTCTGTTGGTTTTGACATGTACCTGTTGATCAAGCTCATTGCACACATAATATTTGGCCTTGTGGTTGTACTATACATCATGCTACCGACCAACTTCCTATAATGAGAGTTATCTACCTCTGCTTCATCTTCTGTTAGAACATGGTAGTATTTATCACTATCACTTGTTTGGCTTTGTCCCAATAGGAGGAGTGAAGAAAATATTTTTACTTTATAAAATAAAATGCATTTGAAT